TGTTATCAATGCTGCTTGCAGGAGACTGCTGGCAGCTTAGAGGTACAGCTGGTTCTTAACTTTGAGACTTGGCATGTTAGCGAAGGCAGACTTGTGAGCCGTCGGAAGAATTATAGATTATTGTTTCTGGTGGCCTGACCTGTGCTATGCCCCTGAGCACCTGTATGGTCTGACTGTGGAAACAGGTTCTAGCTTAGGACACAGCGGGGTGTCTTTAAAGACTGTGTGTGTGAAGGGGGGTGGGGTGGGGTGGGGGGGTGTCCTGCCTTCAGCTCTGTGAAGGTTAGCTCCTGTGCTGGTGGCTAGCAGGTGAACTGCAGCTATGACGGAAGATCCTTGTCTGCACAAACATGTCTTAAATGTCATTGTCCCCATCGCTAAAGTCAGACACAGCAAATGGTGCCTAAAACGGAGATCCAAGGCGCTGAGGTCAAGATTTCCCCCAAAAGGATGCTAATTATGAAGGTTATGCTGCAGATCCATAAATCTGTTGTATCTTACTGAAAGTACTTTTCCTGAGTTTTTCCTTTTTAGGTAACCAGTCAATCAGTCCTTTATGTAGTCTGGTGGAAGGTTGACTGAATTCAAAACCAGTGGGTTTTGGTGAAGTTTTGTTTGTTTGTTTTTAAAGACTTTCCTTTCTTCCTGTCCCTTCCACTTCTATCTTACTTTTCAAAGTAACTATTTCTACCCAGTGTGGATGTAGCTGAAAAATGTCACTGTTTTTAAAGCACTGTTTATCTTTTATTTCAGGGTCTTCACCAAATTTCTCGAAGGACCATAAGCACTGCTTCACGCAGGCAGTTTGAAAATAGAGTTCCTGAGAAGCAGAAGCTTTTTCAGGTATTGAGTGAGCACTGATAGTAGGATAATGCTAGTAGAATAACAAGGTTTTAGTAGATCATAATTGCATACACTTTGTTTCTAAAGAACTGGTGAAAGTCCTCTTTACATCTGAGGTGAGCTCTTGAAATCAGTTGTATGACTACAGTGTTTGAAATCAGCAGTTATTTTCTACAGAGATGAAGAGTGTTTGTACACGCATACTTGGCTTGCTGCCTCTTTAGGGTTTTTTACCCTGTGAAATTATTTGTACCCGAGTTTCTTATGAGTAGTAGTTACTGTACAAAGAAAAAGACAAAGTGCTCTGAAATGAGATGAGATGGGGGAGTATGTCCTAAGAACAAATAGAGAAAAACAGCAAGTGAGAGGACAGAAGTACAGTGAAAAGTTAAACCTGCAATCTTACAGCTATATATCCATAGCTCATAGATGAGCCCCATAATTCTTAATGAGGATGCGGTATAACTGTACTTCTCAGTTATGAAAACAGTAAAGGTCTTAAGGGATTGGATTCACTCCTAGGAAATTATTGAATCTTAAAAATAATTTCTGAATTAATCTCTTCCTGATTGATAGGGCCACCTAGTGAGAACTAGCGGTTCTTCAAGTGCCAAAGCAGTGGATACCCAAGAGCATACTCCCAGCTGTGAGCCATAACCTGGAGCAGTAGCTTTGTACTGAGGATAGAGTAGACTGGGCTTCAGTGATGTGAAAGGGAAAAAGCATGTTAGAAGCCCCAGTTTAATAGTTTTTGTGTCTTGTTGCTTCCCTTTCCCCTGAAAGAGAAAGCCAGTCTTCTTGGGACACTGCCTAAGGGGCACAGTGTTCATTGCGAGCCAAGGGGAAGTGGGGATGTTGGCAATGGGTGAGGTCAGAGGTTCTGTTTCTGCTGGCGGAGATCTCTAGGCGTATCTCTTCCTCCTCCCATTCCTTACTCGTGGGGCAGCAAGTTAAGCTGGGCTGGGTTGCAGGTCACCAGCACTGGAGGCCGGCTTGAATTCCGTCAGCAGCGTGGACTTGCTGACAAGGGTAAAGATCATGTGGATCTGGTGTCTAGGAGTTTTACTGCAGGTGGAGCAAAACGATTTCCTGTATGACACCAGGTGATGGTAGAGGCTCCTCCCCTTGTCGCTCCCTATAGCAGGGATTGACTATGCTGGAGATGGATGGGCAGTTTCTAGGGATGGTAGTCGTACCCTGTGCACCCGAGGAGGCTGGCAACTGGTGTCAGAAGTGTTTAGGCATCTGCCAGTCACTGCTTTAGAAATGAACGTGCACATCATTTACTATACTTCCCTGGTGAGTGGTCACCTGATACCAGAGTGAAAGCTTGAAAGACAAAGTGGAATCTAAATAAGGTTCAGTGTCTTTTGGGAGTTGGGAAGATGATTTGGGGAAGTAATTCTTGTTCTGGGTAACTCTAGTTATATTAACACAATATTGCAAGAACTGTATTTAAATAGTTTCTTTTTGTCACTTGTTTCCATTAGGAGGATAATGGCATCCCAGTGCATCTTAAAGGTGGTATAATGGATGCTCTGTTGTATAGAGTCACCATGGGTCTTACGGTTTTTGGTAAGGCTAATACTAAAATATTTATGCTTTGGTACGATTTCCAACGTGCTAATATTAAAATACTATTTCTTTGGTACAATCTCCAACATGACTGGTGTTTCCTCTGTAAATCGCTTACACGGTTCCTTCAGTCTGCTCTTTAGAACATGCAAAATGCACGTAGAGACGAGGGAAAAAACATTTGGGCATACTATATATTTATTTGTGCTTTCTCAAGCTTTTCAGATGGATTTTTTTTCCCCTGACTAATAGTACTATGGGCTGAATGCTCCTTCAGAATTCATGTGTGACGTTAGAGAAAACTAGAACTGCTTAGTCTTATTCTGAAAAGTAGTAAAATGTATTTATAGCACATACATATACCAGTTTTCTCACTAGCCTGACTCTTTCTAGTGCTAGGTAATGCTTGATGTGCTGAGGTTTCACATGCTGTGAAAACTAGCAGAACATATTCAAGCTTTATGATATTGTATATATTTAACTATATATATATTTAACCTTTACATTGCTTGTTACATAGTTTTCTAATAGCCTCTAACTTAAATATGCTGATCTAACGGATTTTCAGTTCAGTTACTTTAAGAATGAGTAACCATTACTTTATGATCGTCTGTGTAGGTTCCACAAATGTGCCTCTCCCCCCCCCTTTTTTTTTCCCTGTTTCTTTATTTTTATGCAGTCTATGGAGAGGTATTTAAGGAATTTTTTTCTCTAAAATACAAATTACCAAAAATAATATCATTGAGATGTGGCTATGGAAATGTTTTGTGTCTGAATTGCAGCTGCTTATTGTCACTATTTCTTCTGGAACAAAGTGGGAAAGGAAAGCCGACTTGAAAGGAATTCTGTTTGCCATTCTGAAAATACCTTTTCTGTCTCCTAATTCAGGAACAGCCTATGTTGTTTACCAGCTGCTTGTCACTTCAATGCCCAAGAAGCAGAAATAATTCCAGTTCAAGATGCCTCAGTGACTAGCATCTCTTCGTCCAATTCCATGTGACTACGATGGCAGCTTATACTTATAAGCAGTTGGCTTAATGCTTGGAATCATAATTTAATTATAACATGTTAACTGCAATCAATAAAGCATTTTGTTGTGTTGTGGTGGTCTGGACTGGATCATGTGTTCTACATTAGAGTGCTTTTTACTTCCAGTAAATGTACATTGAGTTGATCGATATGCAGAGCTTTGAATTGTGAGCCTCTTTTCTTTCTACGTGGTTTATGTTAGTATTTCAAAGGTGAGTTAAATGCCCTGAATCCCTATAAGAAAGTGATATCTTGTCTTTATTGTAGGAGTTTCCTCTTCTTGCTTTAGTGGAGCAAATTAATCTTATAGTAAATGATTAGGATTTGATTAAACCTGTGTGGAAATGAATGTTGAGGACTTGATGATTATGCTGTATCTCTGCTGTCAACTGCTGGAAGTTGACTGTAATACATCTAGAAATAGAGAAATCTGATTCCTGATCACCATTCAAAGGTGACAGTTTTTACTACGTAGAGGTGATAACACCGTCCTCTGCAGCTCTAGGGGCTTAGAAGTAGTCTCAGTTGAACTCGGCACCTTCACCTAATAGACTTTTTTTTGCAGTGGCTTTTCTGTGCTGCAGCTTAATGGAACACTAAAAGAATATGAAAAGAATGAAGATTTCTAAGCATGCAAATATGATAAGCAGGTGATGGTGTATTTATCTTGCTGCCCATGAAATCAACATATATATGTTAATAATGATTAAGACTTGATAATCTTCCAATGTTGCCTCATCTTTCAGGTGGCTAAAGCCAGCTTGTTCTCAGTCAGTAGGGTAAATAAAGCAATTGGTTCTTTAGCATAAAATTAAAAAAAAGTTTATTAGTTTGAGGGTGTTCTAGAGCAAATAGTAAAGTGGAGGAGGGGCACAATGTGTTAATACTAACTGTACTAATGCAGTGCTAGAAGTTCTCCACTGATTGAAAAGGTTTACAGGGACAATTAGACAGATACTCTGCAGTTGACTGCTAATTTGATCTAGGCTGAACTGGACCCTATTAAGCCAGAAATACTGAAGATACTGAAGGCAGTGCTTATAAAAGCTTCAAATTCTTGTTAATAAATTTTGACAGTTTTTAATGCTCTTCTGGAAGAATTTCTTCAGTGCTCTCTAGCTTCGAGGATAGGCTAAATGCTTAGAGAGACCACCTTCTGTCTCTACGAATGGTACTCTTCTGCGGTTTGAGAATAGGAGTGCCCCATGTCTGTAGGGTAGGAGCAGATCTAGTTCCTAAGTACACCCCAGGTTAAGTGGATTAGGTTTCAAACAGTTGTAGCATAATTTGGGTTGGGAGGGACCTCTGAAGGTCAATTGCTCCAATCTTCTGCTTAGAGCAGTGCCACTTCAGAGCTATGCTGCGTTGCCCAGGGCCTTGACCAGTTGCACGGGGAGTGTTTCCAAGGGTGGAGATGCTACAGCCTCTCTGCAACCTGCTCCAGGGTTTCACTGTCCTTTCTCGGAAGAGAGAAAGTTTCTGGGATACAGGAATACACGCGTTTAAAGGATGGTTGTTAGCATTCCTGTAACACAGCTCTAAAGGAAGCCACAATTGCACTTGACTACTCCTACCTAGACGACCACGAATTTTACAAACTTAAAGGGGAAAGCAGGTATCTTTTAATGTCTTATGTTAAGACCTCTCAGAAAATGAGGCAAAAGCTGTAGGCATGGCTGAGTTTTAGGTTGCTGTTACTACTTCATGTCAGGGTGTCAGTAGCTGCTGCTTCTAAAGCTCAGTCAACACTGGTTTCTGGGAGAGCTGTCAGCTCTGCTCCGGTATCGTTTCTACTGGGTCAGTCCAAATTTTCTGGCAGCAGTTTGAACTATGCCTTAAGCTAGGTTACGTGCCTTAGCAATAACATGGTTGAGGAGGGCTCACCTGCTCTGTTTCACCAGCAGAACTGTATGACAGCTCTGCGTATGTAGAGACACACCAAATGGCTGATAAAACTAATGGTTTGATCATGAACCTTTCCAAAGTCCTCCTCTTTCAGGGGCTGAGGTGGTGTTTATCAGCTTGCTATGACACTGACAACCACAAATACAACTGGAGATCCATTGTTGACTTGGGGGGAGAAATATTTGATTGTGGTTTAGAACTGGGCAGGGATACCCAGTAATAACTGTTAGCTGCTACCATGTATTTAGGAACAAGCCTTATATCCAAAGTAGCTAGTGCTGTCAGTGGAAATGCCTGTTCTATGAAAACTGCTTCTAGGAAGCATCTTTAAGTTGGTGAGTATGAGAATCACTTGTAAGCTACTCTGATGCCTCTTACTAGCTTGACTATTGCAATTACTGGGGAAGAACATCTCTGGGAACCAGTGGTAGCTGTGCATCCCTAGTTGGCTTTTATGTTCCTAACACAATTTGTGCCTTTGTAGCCTTCCTGTCAAGTTGCTACTCGTGGGTTGTTATGCTGAAAGTCTGGTGTTGACTCTGTAACAAATAGAGCTTCTAAAAAAAAAAAAAAACAACCCATCAAAATAATTCTTTTGTTTCTCTTCTCAAGGGAACAGTGGGTTTTCCAAAATGTGAAAATGAGCACAAAAATCTAGCTTCCCACTACAGTACTATTTTAAGCCTCTTGTGGATTAAGTTTGTTTAGAATTTTTCATTGCTATCCTGGAGAACCAGAGTATGCCTGTTAAACTTGAGGCAAACTGGAAGAGAAGGGCCAGTGTATTCAGAATTCTCTGGTAGAACCAAAAATCTTAAAAAAAGAGAGTGGGGGAATACCCCTCGATGGCAGTCTCTCTGCATAGGTGGGTTTGGCCAACTGCATGACTAAAAGAGTAAGAACTGCCTGGATGGATGTCTCAGAAGAAGGTTTGGGAAATGGGATACAGCTTATCTTGAGATGAACATTGATGCCTACAAGGAAGAGAAGCCTCACAGCACAGCGAACTATACTTCACAGCATGTGAAGGAATCGGTCTGCTCTCTGCGACACTGGTAAGGCTTCTGCTGCTACCACGCATGCATGACTGAAAGAGTAAGAACTGCCTGGATGGATGTCTCAGAAGAAGGTTTGGGAAATGGGATACAGCTTATCTTGAGATGAACATTGATGCCTACAAGGAAGAGAAGCCTCACAGCACAGCGAACTATACTTCACAGCATGTGAAGGAATCGGTCTGCTCTCTGCGACACTGGTAAGGCTTCTGCTGCTACCACGTGCCCAGGGTTACTACCAAGATGTGGACCAAGTGGTGGGCATCTGGAAGGCAGCGTAAGGAAAGATCAAAATCTTTAAAAAGCCCACATCCTTTCCCACCCGCAGGAATTACGAAGAATATTGAAAGAAGGACAATTGCTTAAATAGTCTAAATTATAAAAATCCTGTGATGTGCTAGGCGGTAAATGCGCGTTTCTGTGCGCAACCGAAGCAGAACGTGCAGCCGTTCTTGTTCTCGCAATGAACCGCACCTCAGAGTCCGCTGTCTCAGGAACGGCGGCAGCTTGTGAGCTGTGCTGCAGGCAGCAGCCCTGGTGGGAGGGCACGTGGGGTAAATGCAAGCTGGGAAAAAGACCTTCGTGCTACAAAGTGATCAGTATTTATAGACAGAGCCTTGAAATGTTATTTAAATGGATAACAAATGACAAGAAATTGTTCTGGCAGAGGTGGGTCTAGTAACCCCGAGACGTGTCCCTGGGGCCTGCAGCTGGAGGCAGGCGGGAGAGCGGTTGGCACTGCCAGGGCCGCGCTGTGCTGCTGCCGAGCGCTCACGGGGTGGCGTGCGCAAGCCGTGGGTCTGCCGGCACTTCTGGAATTTTTCTGCTGCAGGAGCGGTAGGAGGATGAAACCAGACAAGCCCCACGGCCGGCTGCTCAGCACCATTTTCTGGGACTGCGCTACAAAGCTGACAGGGAAATTCCCATCTACTGTTCAGTCTATATGTGTAATTTGTTGCAGGCATGTCCACATCACAAGCTGCCAGAAGGTGTAAACTAGGTGCCTATACTGTCTTTCTCTAGGAAAATGCAAAAAGAGAGCCATGCATCTTCTCTAGGGCTAAAATTAATGGAAAGAGTTTGGAAGTATCTGAAAATCTTACCTTCGGTCTCCCTATGGGTATTTTATGCGTAGAAGAAAAAAAAATAAGCAACATCTATTACTCCTTGCTAATGTGAAAAAATGATAAATTTTAAAAAATAAAATGGTAATATGAAGTCATGGGCTGCTAGCAGTTAACACACTCAAATTGTGTGCTTTTCTTGTCTGATTCTATTACTGTAGTGCTTAATTACTATCCTTAAATCAATATTTTCTGGAGTTAGGTATTATACTAATGTACAACATTGCTACCTTACTGCAGTCCTACTTTTGATTTGTGTTTAGGCAATACACATGGTGTCTTTCCCTGAAAGAGATTTCATGTAAACTTTATTTTCTATTTCAGGTTCATGTAAAATTTATTTTTCAGTTACTGTTCTTAGAAATGGTAGCTATAATTTTTTTGTAGTTTGCTTTAAAGGATGGGAAAGCCTCCTGGAGCTGAGGACATGGGAACGCTGTCCTGGCTTCCACTGAGCTGGGTTGTTCTAAATGTCACCCCTAAAAATATGGGGTACATTTTCTGCTAGATAGGCAATGAGTACTCCATCTCTTCCACTTCCCTTGCCACCCTATTTTTCATTATATAAGCTTTTAAACTTATATGGGTTTAAGGTTAACAAAGAAAGCTTAGTAGTGTGCTGGCTTTGGCAGAATGAAAAAAAATTGTTCATCCTACTGTAAGAGAAATGACTATTCAAACAATAGTCAGACAGATGAAACAGACGAAAATTAAATCATCAGTATTGCAGTTCTAGGTTACACAACCCCTTCTGAGACTCCAGATGTACAGACCATGTTTTACTTTCTCCATTGTGAAGGTAGCTCAGAACTAGCTGCTCTTAGAACTGTGCCCTGGGCTACATTTTCTTGGCTGCTGAATACATGTGTACATTGAATTAGCCTGACACACACAAAAATTTCCCCAGTAAAAGTCTGAGGACTAATAATACACAATTACAGCATTGGCTTCCTAAAAGACACCATGAAAAAAGTTCAGAAACTCTCAG